GGCAAGTGGAGGGATTGAGGGAGAGAATTCCAGAGTTTCGGGGCATAGTGGCTGAAAGCACGACCTCCAATGGTGGGACAGAGGATGTAAGGGACAAGCGGGAGGCCAGTCGGTACCAGTTGAGCAGAGGCGCCGGGTGGTGGATTGGGGAGTGAGGGATCGGAGAGGTCGGGAGGTGCCAGGGAATGAATGGATTTGAACACAAGTTTGAGGATTTTGATGTCGATCCGTTCGATGATGGGGAGCCAGTGGAACCTGGGCCAGAACTGGAGAGATGTGGGTATGGAGTTTGGTCCGGGTCAGTATGAGGGCAGCAGAGTTCTGAATGAGTTGGATTTTTTGAAGGGTGGAGCTGGGGAGACCAGCGAGGAGTGTGTTTGAGTAATCCAGGCGGGAGGTGACAAACGCACAGCATACAACAAATTTACATTTATAGAGCGCCTTTCACGTCGGGAGGACGTCCCAAAGCGCTGATCAGTCAGGTGTCGGGACCCGAGCATGGGGGATGAGTGGTGTAGGGGTGAGGGAAGGCAGAGAGGTGGGAGGGCGACCAAAGGCACGATAGAAGAGAAGGGTCTTGAGACCGGCTTTGAAGGAGGCAAGGGAGGAAGCGAGGCGAAGGGACTGTGGGATGCAGTTCCAGAGTGTGAGGGCAGAGAGACTGAAAGCCCAGCCACTGATGGTAGGGCGGGTCGGCTGGGAGACATGGAGTAGACCAGAGCCTGCTGAATGGAGAGAGCGGGCAGGTTGGTAGGGAGTCAGCAGGTCAGAGAGATAGGAGGTAGGTGGCCTTGAAAGTGAGGACAATGATCTTGAACTCGATCCTCTGGGGGATGGGGAGCCAGTGGAGTCGGGCGAGGGTGGGAGTGATGGGGTCACGGAGCCTGGTGCGTGAGAATTCACGAGCTGCAGAGTTTTGAATGATCTGCAGCTTGTAAAGGGAAGAGTTGGGAAGGCCGATGTTGTGACGAACGCATGGATAAGGGTTTCAGCAGCCTGAGGCTTGAGGCAGTGGCGGAGTCTGGCAATGTTGCGGAGGTGGTGGTAGGCAGTGCCGGTCATGGCGCGGATGTGGGGGAGAAAGGACATTTCAGTGTCAAACAAGACACCCATGTTCCTGACTGGCTTAGTGAGGTTGAGTGTGCAGCCGTGGAGGCTGATGCTGTCAGCGCCCGAGGTGTGGAGGCGCTGGCGCGAGCCAATCAGGAGGGCCTCGGTCTCGCTGACGTTGAGTTGGAGAAAGTTGGCCTTCGTCCAGGACTTGATGTCGGTCAGGCAGTCGGTCAGGACACCAGTAGTCCTGGAGTTGGGTGTCATCCACATACATGTGGAAATTTACCCCATGTCTGTGGATGATGTCACCAAGGGGGAGCATGTAGGGGGTAAAGAGGAGGGGACCGAGGACAGAGCCATGAGGAACACTGCATGAGACGGTGCGGGGGCTGGAGGAGAAGCCGTTTGCTGTGACAAAGTGGAGACGGTGTGAAAGGTAGGACCTGAACTAGTCAAGGACAGAACCTTGAAGGTTGAAGTGGAAGGAGAGGCGGTGGAGGATTGAATGGTCCACAGTGTCAAAGGTGGCATAGAGGTCGAGGAGGACGAGGAGGCAGAGGGAGCCCTGGTCGCACATGGTCAGGATGTCATTTGTAACCTAGACCAGAGCAGTTTCCGTGCTGTGGGCAGCACGAAAACTCGATTGGAGGGGTTCATGGAGAGGAAAGAGCGGAGCTGGGAGGCAATGGCTCTCTCAAGGACTTTGGATAGGAAAGGGAGGTTTGAGATGGGCCGGTAGCTGGATAAGGATTTTGGCTGCATTTGGGGTTAAAGTACGGTCGGAACCGGGCAATAAGGCGGAGGTGGAGGAAGGCGGTCCTTGTCAGGGACTGGATGTGAGGGAGAAAGGACAGCTGAGGGTTGAACCGGACGCCTGGATTGCGCACTGATTCGGTGAGTCTCTTGAGGGAGAGCCCAGGAAAGTTGAGGGGTTCAGATCCACAGATTAGCAAAATATACCGATTTACAATGGTTTGAAAAACACAAAGGAGTGTACTGTTTATACACAGGGTTTTATAATAAACAAGCACAACACAAAAGGAAAACCATTTTTAATAACCTTTGCAATAAGATGTGGCTAATTAATAACTAATAACAGATTATTTGCGCTCCCAGCTAGGCCTCAGAATTATGATATGCCAGATATGCTCACGAGTCAGTTGCACTTTATCCAAACATATGTTCCCTTTATGTGTTAAGCCTCAAAAATACAAATTTATAAACACTGTATATAAGAAATGTACAGTACATGATTACGCTTTCTGTAGCATTTGATTCATCTCAAGTTCATGTGATGTACTGTAAATGTAAACCTTACTCAGTCATATAATGAGCCATTTTGCAAAACTAAATAAACATTAGACCTATAACATGTTTCTGGCAGAAATTTATACCTGTCTACTGTATTTCCTTTTGGGATTTCAGTATTACTCTCACGAAGCAAAAAACATTTGGAGGACATTTATACTAAGCTTAAAGTAGCAGCGATGCACAAATATGGCTTTCTTTTAAGATACTAAAGCCAGTGAGTCCACTGTATATAAATGAATGCATTTTCCATGGCTTTGCTCCTTCATGTAGAGTTGGAGCACTAAGGCATCAGACGCACACCCTTCAAATGGCTAGAAATTCAGATGGCAGCTCATAATGCAACATTGGAAAGGCAGTGAATGGCAGAATGATTTTTATAATCTTGGAGAAACTCAGACATTGAAAATTAGTCCACAGACCAGGAGGATAAATGCTTCCCCCAAATTATGAGCTCAAAGTCCTGCCAGGGAACTTAAACCCACAATCTTTTGATTCAGAGGTTAATACCTTAGTGACACCTTATCTAAATCGATTCAGTTGCAAGACTGTATTTTTCTCTTTTATTTAGCGCTGTGTTTCACAATAGCTGGTATCACTCCCTGATTTTTCTCATGGCAATTTCATACTGGAGATCTCTTTTAGGTTGAGTGATTAGTTAGACTTATTTACTAATGGTCCACTGCATTTTAAAAATCTGTTTAGTCTCTGGTATGTTTTCCAAACATAATTGAGAAATGCTGGCTTAGCAGATCCTCACACACTATCATATTGCATTACTAAATACAGGCAAGATGTTATGATAGTTTTAATGTTGGTTATATTGTTGAAGGATTGCTGTTCTAAGATTTCTGAAACTATCTTAGATGCGCAGGATAGATAACTGAATTCTGTCTGATCCCCCGAATAAATTCTAATTTATCAAAGGAAATCAGGTTTGTAAAACCTATTTTACTACTACTACTATTAATTACTTTCATTTGGTATAGCGCCTTATCACATCTTTGAGATCTCTCACAGAATATAATGTAAAGTGGTTCGACTGCATTTTGTGGGCGAAATGCGGCAGCCAGTTTATGCACAGCAATGTCCCACAAACAACCATGGAGTGAGTGACCAATTTTATTTGGGGGATTGTTGGCTGGGACACTCCTTTCTCTTTTCAAACAGTGCCATGGGATCATCACGTCTACTTGAACTGGCGGACAGGATCTCAGTTTAACATTTCATCCAAAGGATGGCATCTCTTACAATGCGACAAGCTCCAGCACTGCATTGGTGTGTCGTCTTAGACTACGTAATTCCAAGTCTCGACGTGAGGCTTGAACTCACAAGCTTCTGGCTCAGAGACGAGAGTACTACTCCTCGCCAGGCTTACAATAAATGGGACGCTGTTTGTGTGTGTTGCGGGAGGGGGCGGATGGGCGAAAGATTTCAGGTGAGTATAGGATTCAGTTTAAGTATAATCCAGTCAAATACCCTGCCAAGAATTATTATCAAGGCTCCCACAATGACAGAGGCTGAGAGTGACCAGGATTGGGCTTGGTGTGATGTTCGAAGAATTCAGGAGCCTGTCAGAGCTCACTGTCAAGACTTGATCCATGAATAATTTAATTTGGTTGAGGTGCTGAATGTGAACCAAAACAATGGGATGGGAACCATACCCCAGTAGAAGGGGATAAAAGAGTAAAAGAGTCAAATGTCTTCAGAATAGCAAGGGAATGGGGGGAATAGGAGAAACTTGACGTGGGAGAAAAAATAAATGTTTTAGTTATTCTCTACCTCACGTCTCTGTTGTGGTCTAGTCAGCAAACCAACTAAACATGCACTAATACTGACATCTCAGTGCAGAGTTGTGGGAGTGCTGCATCACCAACCTAAACTGAGTTCCCATCTTCCTGTTCAGGTGCATGTTATAGATACCATGGCACTATTCAATAAAAGAAGGGAGTGTCTCCAATGTCTCGGCCAACAATCCACCAGATAAAACTTGTCATTCACTTTGTGGCTGTTTGTGAGACATTGCTGCAAGCGATTTGACTATCACGTTTGCCTAGAAAATACAGTCACCATACTTTACAGTAAATCTTGTGTGCTTTAAGATGCCTCAAAGATGTGATAAGACTCTATATGATATGCACTGACTATTATAATAAAATGTAAGCATTTAGCTATCATTAAAACACTGCCAAATGGGTCATTATGGACAATTCAACTCTAAATCTTACAATAAACCACCGTAGCATTGTTAGTCTAGGCATCTTAGAGACTTAGCTCTATCTCTGAGAGATGCAGTTATAGCTCAGGTAGGCAGTGTACCTTTGATTGGTATATTTTGTATTACACTATCTATTAGTTAATACAATGTGCAACTGAATTTGGGATTTTTATAATGTTTCTGCGCATATTAATTATGCAATACTTATTGTTCCCATTGAAAATAGTGCAAACAGTTTAAAATTAATAGACAGTATTACCTAGTAAATTGTGCCAAAAGCAAGGCTGGAATATTATACAAATGCTCAGAGTGCGAGACATGTCTTAGGCATTTTACTGCAGGAAAAAATAAACCTGGGAATTGTGACTGGAATACAGCATCCGCATAATGTGATCAGTATGTTTATGCTGAGGTACTGCTGATGATCAATATTCTATCTTCATTTTCATTCATAGCACCTGACCTGTAAAAGGATGATAACATGATGTGAGTTAAGAATCTGGGGGAGGACTCAGAACAGCAACAACAAGATTATGTTTGTATAGTGCTTTTCACGTTGGGAGGACGTCGCAAGGTGCTGGACAGAGTAAAGCATTTCAGACCCAAGCTGGGGTCAGGGGGGATGAAGGGAGGGAAAGGCGGGTGGCCGATGGCATGGTCAAAGAGGAGGGTCTTGAGGCGGGACTTCAAGGAGGCTAAGGAGGGGGCGAGGCGGAGCGACTGGGGGATGGAATTCCAGAGGTGGCTGAAGGCTCTCCCGCCAATGGTGGGGCGGGTGGGGCGGGGAACATGGAGCAGGCCAGAGCCGGCTGAGCAGAGAGGGCGGGTTGGTAGGGGGTTAAGAGGTCACAGAGGTAGGGTGGGGCGAGGCCATGGAGGGCTTTGTATGTGAGGAACAGGATCTTGAACTGGATCCTCTGAAGGATAGGGAGCCAGTGGAGTCGGGTGAGAATGGGGGAGATGGGGTCACGGAGTTTGGTGCGGGAGACGACACGGCTGCAGAGTTCTGGATTATCTGCAGCCTGTGGAGGGAGGAGTTGGGAAGACCGACAAGCAGGGGTTTGCATAGTCGAGCCTGGAGATGTTGAAGGTATGAACAAGAGTTTCAGGGGCCTGAGGGGTGAGGTAGTGGCAGAGTTGGGCAATGTTATGGAGGTGAGGGAAGGCAGAGCGGGTCATGGCTTGGATGTGGGGAAGAAAAGACAGTTGAGGGTCGAACAAGATACCTAGGTTCCTGACTGGCTTGGTGAGTTGGAGTGTGCAACCATGGAGGTTGATGCTGCCAGAGCAAATATGCTTTCTAAAATTAGAAATTTTGATGTTATTCAAATTGTTCACCTGCTATATACAGCTGAAGTTCAAAGCTGCTGGCTTGTTATCAAGGAGAATCTTGTGTTTTTTTTAGAATGCAGTTTAATATAGTATAGCATTTAAGAACAACTTGTTCTAATTTCCTGGGTATTTTTAGATCTAGCCAGTCAGATGGAACAGATTTACAGTACTTTCACTTTTCTTGTATGAAAAACTACTTTAACGCTTCTGAGTTCCTTGTCCATACAGTGAAATACTGTAGGTGTCTGATTTGCCAGGTTAATTCTGCTAAATCTGACATCTGTTTGAACACTGAATGTTCAGAGAACTGAAATCCGTGACAGCCTCTGAACTGGTCCAGAAACACCTTAGGCCTGAATCTGGTTAGAGCACTCGCTTCGCAAGGGAAAGGACCTGGGTGGGCCAAAACCTTAGGTAAGTTTCCTTACTCCACACGCCTCTGTTTATCTAGCAGCAAGTAGGAAGTTAGTTGTTAGTCAATTGGTGGATGTCTTTCCTGGGGGTAATAATCCCTTTTAAAAAGAATTCAGTCACTCAATCCATGACTGTTTGTGGGACACTGCTGTACGCAATTGGCTGCTGCGTTTCGCCCACAAAATGCACAGACACTCAACTTTGCAATATATTCTGTGAAGCGCTTTGAGACATCTCAAAGACGTGATAAAGCACTATATTAATTGCAAGGATTATTATTAATAATGGTCAATACTCAATCCATGTTCTACACACCTGGGGAGCCAGCACTGTAGTTTTATATTACTAGCCAAACTGCTCTACAGTAGATACTGGTTTGGAACAGATTTTGGGTCATAAAATCACAGTTTTCTTGAAGAACTAGAAAGAATCTGGTTGTTATCATTAATTAGCACTATAATACTATAATAATAATCATTGCAATATACAGCATATATAACACCGTAGGATCTCAAAGCACTTCACAGATAATTCCTGCCAACAGTAGTGATTGTGTATTTGTAAGAAACACCAAAAGTACCCACTTTGCACACCCCATTGATCGACCAGTTTAATAATAATAGGCTGAACTCTAACACATATTGTGATTTTTGACTGATTAGATAGTGAAGATAGTAAAGGTGAGTCATTGCATTTTCTCCCCCTAAGAGTGTTTTTGACCTTCTGTGTTTGTTGTTTGCTTATGTATGAAGAAACACTCCAGCTAGGTCTAGATTTATTCTATTCTCTTTATATAACATTTGAGAAATTTAAATTCTTAAATATAGCTTTAATTTTGAAGCTGGTTGTTTCTGTAAGCTCTTTGCAGAAACTACAGAAAATAAGCCTTCAAAGTCAAGAGCGAATTCAACAATCTGCCAAATTTTGGACATTTCTAAAATGGTACATTAAAGAGAATATATCTAGACCAAATTGGTCCATTGTACCAATAATTTCTCAAATGTTCATTAATATCTTTAAACTACCAGGTGATAAATGTGACTTTCAATGTCATACCTATAAGTTACTTTTTTCACCTCTTTATGTGTTTGATGTAATTGAATAAAAACAGGCAACTTCCTTCACCCTAAAATCATTTCTATTTAATATAAAGCACTCCAGCAGCAAGTACTAATTATTGTTTATCATTTAATCTGTAGAAATCAAAATATAATTCCTCACCTAAAAAGAAACAGTAAGTGCTTTGGAGAAGTCTATTTGACAAGGTAGTGACCACAAAAGACATTTTTCCTTGCTTCAGTAACTTAATTTTTTTAAAAAAAAACTAGAATACAGAGTGAGAGAGAGAGAGAATGGCATGGCAGGTGATGTGCGAGGACTACAGTATGTGGGAGTTGATGAAAGAATCTCCAGCTCAGAATCGCTGAGCTAGAATCTGAGGTGCAGACATTACGCAGTATTAGGGAAAATGAGAGCTTCCTGGATAGTTTCACCCTGGAATACTCCGCTGAGGTTCAGGGAACGTATAGATTACATTACTAGTCAGGGACAGGACAGGGTGACTGACAGTCAGGCAGGTAAGAGGATCCTAGAGAGAGTGGTGGAGAAGCCCCAGGCTTTAACCTTGTCCAACAGGTACAAGATATTTGCAACCTGTTTGGTTGGTATCCACTGGCTCCCCATCCCCCAGAGGATTGATTTCAAGATCCTCATCCTCACCTACAAGGCCATTCACGGCCTCGCTCCCTCCTACCTCTCCAACCTCCTATCCCCCTACCTACCTGCCCGTACCCTCCGTTCCTCCGGCTCCGGTCTGCTCCACGTCCCTCGCCCCAATCGCCCTACCATCGGTGGTCGGGCCTTCAGCCTCTCAGGCCCGAGGCTCTAGAACTCTATCCCCCAGTGCCTTCGCCGCTTCCTCCCTCTCCTCCTTCAAGGCCGGTCTCAAAACCTTTCTCTTTGACCGAGTCTTCAGCTCCCCTCTCGACTCTCTACCCCTCCTCGCTCCCTCCCTTCCCTCCCCTCACCCTGACCATTTCCCCCTGCTCGGGTCATGACCCAACTGTGCAGCGCCTTGGGACGTCCTCCTGATGTGAAAGGCGCTTTATAAATGGAATCTTGTTGTTGTTGTTGTTGTTGTTGGACAAGGAAGCCTGTAAGGAGGATGGACAAACTGACCCCAACATCTATATACAGGAGGCCACACAAGTGGTGGGAGATAGACGGAATTTAGTTGTAATTGGGGACGAGACAGTCAGGAGGACAGACCACTTCTCTGCAGCCGCAACCAGGAGACACGAAGGCTCTGTTGCCAGGGTGAAGGAAGTCTTTTCAGGGCTGGAGAAGAATTTGAGGCAGGAGGGGGAGGATCCAATTGTGATAAACCGCATAGGTACGAACAATATAGGTAGGACTAATAGGGACGACTTGAGGAGTGAGTTCAAGGAATTGGGAAGTAAATTAGAAAAGAAGAACTTCCAAGGTAATAATATTGGGATTGTTATTATTATTACATGAATTATGTACAAATTGGTACACGCACAAACACATTAAGGAATTAAATGCGTGGCTGAAAGAGTGGTGCAGAGGGCTAGGATTTCATTTTGTGGGCCACTGGCACCACTATTGGAGGAAAAGGGAGCTATTCCATTGAGATGGGCTCCACCTAAACTGAGTTAACGGGAAAAAAACAGAGAGGAGGGATAAACGAGTCCTTCTCAGATTGACAAGATGTGACTAGTGGAGTGCCACAAGGATCAGTGCTTGGGCTTCAACTATCTACAATCTATATCAATGATCTAGACGAGGACATAGAAATTAAAATATCTAAATTCGCGGATGATACTAAGCTAGGTGGGAGAGTAAGCTCTGAGGATGACACAGAAAGATTGCAAAGGGATATAGATAGGCTAGGTGAGTGGGCAAGAAGGTGGTAGATGGAATATAATCTGGGAAAGTGTGAAGTTATTCACCTAAGTAGTAAAAACAAAAAAGTAGATTATTACTGAATAGGACCTTAGTGAGACCGCACCTAGAATATTGTGTGCAGTTTTGGTCTCCTTATTTAAGAAAGGACATACTCGCCTTAGAGGGGGTGCAGCATAGATGCACTAGGTTAGTTCCTGGGATGAAGGGGTTGACTTATGAGGATATGTTGTGTAAATTAGGTCTATATTATCTAGAATATAGAAGAATTAGGGTGATTTTATGAAAACATTCTTAAAATTCTTAAGGCTTGACAGAGCAGACAGTGTGGGACTGTTTCCCCTGATAGGAGAATCTATAACTAGGGGTCACAGTCTTAAGATTAAGGGTTAGCCCTTTCGAACAGAGTTGAGGAAACACTTCTTCACTCAGAGGGAAGTGAATTTATGGAATTCTCTACCCCAGAAGGCTGTGGATGCTCAGACATTGAACATATTCAAGACTGAGATTGATAGATTTCTAAAGGATAGATGGATTAAGGGATATGGGGATAAGACAGGCAGATGGAGTTAGGTTAGAAGATTAGCCTTGATCTTATTGAATGGCGGGGCAGGCTCGAGAGGTTGAATGGCCTACTCCTGCTCCTAATTCCCATGTTCCTAAGTATACAATTGTGAATAATGAATGCACGAGCTAACTTGTGAGATGTTACTCATTAAATGCAAAGACTAAAGTGCAACACAGTAATATTCCAGAAGTTCTTGCCGCTCATTGGTAGAGGATTTGAGAGGGAGAAAGTTCACCTTTTTTTTCATTATTTGACTACCCCACTATGTATTTTTATGATTTCCACCCCCTACCACCCACCCCCAGCTACAATGCAAGTACTGATTAGGAAGCACTAAATTAAGCAAACAGTATTCTACATTACTGTTTCTGACAAATATCTTGTACTGTACACTGACAATCTTATCTTTATTGTTTCCGTACAACGGACAAATTTACAGACAATAACGACCGTTGTGTTGCATAAATGTCCCCCATTGATTCAATCTTACAGTTTGAAGACAATCCATTCATTTTGTTCAATGTTTGTGCTCCTGCACAGATATCAAATTCTCTTCCCTTTTATAGACCAGTAAAATGTATAAGGTAAGAAAAGGGCATTGTGCTCATTACACCCACATGATCTAATGCCCAAGAACAACTTGTACTGTCATGGGTTCTATACATTATTTCATTTCCAGAGGGAAGAAAATAATCAGACAAAACAGCAACTTTTATGTTATGTTGGCTTGCAACAGTGGCAGGTTGGACACTGAGCAAGAGGGGAGGGGTTGATCATAGGCAATATCATAGACGTAGATCTTCAGCTTTACTCTCGTAGTATCTATTCTTTCCTGGAATATTGTTTCCTAGAATTTGGTCTTGTGCATACTAGAAAAAAGGAAATGGTTTTGAACAAAACACCATACAAACAAAACCTACTGTTATCTTGGACTTCATCCATTCATTGTCCACTTTATCTCCCAGGGACTGTCCTGGATAACAACTCCTCAAATCCTTAAAAAAACAATTCAGTTAAAATGTCCAGAATATTTGTTTCAAAAAAATCTCTCTTATAAAGTGATCTGCTTACCCTCCCCTCAGCACCGAACAGAGCAGAAAAGTCCTGGTTTCTTGTAGAGTATTCTAAAAATAGTTTGCAAGCTGCAATGTCATTACCCAAGAGGCTGCAAGAAGAGTTTAAACTTAATGGATCACTGGGAGCTGTGTAATAGTTTTTTTTTCACTTGGAAGCCTAGTTTGAATGTTACCCGCACTGATGACAATTTTCTCTTCCCAGCCGGAAATGTACCCAGTGAAATGAGTTTTGTTAGTCTCAGCCCAGCTCATGGTGGATGGGGGCACAGAACTCAAAACTGGCCCCAAAATTGCACTCAAGTGGGAATCTCTCTCTCTCTCCTCTCTCTCTCTCTCCAGTGGGTTGTAACGATGGCTGTTGTGAGAATTGGCCAAGTTTAATGGGGGTTGTTGAGGCAGAGCGAGTTTTACCTGTCTTTAGCACTCTATACCTCAGCAGGGGAATGTTGACATAATAGAAATGTTACCAGCTTCACTACAAAAATAAATATTAACACCCTACGTCCTGCAAGGCAAGAGGTATAATTGCATTCCTTGTTGCACAGCAAAGCAGTATTTTTGAGCTTTTAAGGATGACTATAAACTGGTAATAAGGGTCCAAAAGGATTACCGATTCTTATTTTTTCTTCCTTCTTGCTTCACATATTGCCTCTACACATAGCATGCTGGCCTCAATCATCAATCTTGGTCATCCATTTCAGCTATTAGTTACCCACTGGGTAAAAAAATACATTACTTCCTGGTAACTGACCTGAAATTGCCCTTTACAAACCCGAATTTCTGGCTTCCTTTTCCTTGGAAAATTTGAAAATCAACCAGTTTTAACCATGCATGGAAACCAGTTCACTTCACAACACATTGTGGACCTGCACATCTGAGATGAAAACCATAAATACACAAATTTTTCACTTTCTGCCAGAGAAAGATAACTTAATGTGCCAGAATCAATCCTTCAGCAGAGCTGCAACAGCTGACCTGGAATCAGGATGTATACTGTAGTAGATTTGTAAATAGTGATCGGAGATTGGAATTTTTGTTTTTTTCCCCCCCAAATGCCTTTGTTTTTCAGTCTAGTATTACTTGTCCTTTTTAGTCCAATATAGTGGTTTCCCCAACCCAATTGTTACAATTCAGATTAAAAGTCAAGATCATAACATTAGCCTTTTTGGGATTTATTTTGGGTCAGCTGGGTTTTGTAGCACATTACTATACTTAAGAAAATCCCAAACAGCCTGAGGGTTTGACATATGCATGACATCTATCCATGAAAATGTGTATGGAATGGAGTATACACTCTTGCTTAAGAGGGACACACTTTGTTTACCTAATTCCAGTGAAGATTAGACTCAGGTTGGAGAGGGACAAACTTTGGGCAGTGGTTTGAGTACTGCTGGAGTTTAAGCAGCTTACCACTGTTAGTACCAACTGGAAACATATCATCTGGGACAATCTAGGACCACCCTCCTATAAGGGCTATGGCTTGCAGGGTTAACAGGAGCCAAGCAGGAAAAATCAGTCCCCAAATACTGATTGTCCCTATGTGCGTTTCCAGACATTTCCATTTTCAACAGTTCCAAGTACCTGATTATATCGGTAATAAATAACAAAATAATGATGAAAGTGGTAAGTGGCAGCCAACTAGGTAATAAACTTGTATGCAATTCCCTGAGGCGCTAAGATTTTGGGTTGGACAATTTACCAGCTGTTTCAATGCACTGCTGCAGTTATCAAACCACTGCCATTTGTGGATGATACAAAGACTAAATGCAAGGATTATTATATTAAGGTCCCAGGAGACTGACGTATCTTGCCTATCGGAGCCTCCTGAGATTGAGGGGCCAACATACATAGGACAAGATGCAACCAAAATAACTTCTTTTTTCTTTTGTGTTGCAGACTTTAATAAACAGCATTATCTACTTGCAGTTGTTTCTGACCACCTTATTTGGAGAAAATATATGCCAAAAAGGAAACCCAGTGACTGATGATATAAAAGATATTGATAAATTGGTAAGTACAAGAACCCATATGATGTTTGGTGCTCCAACAATGGACAATTTGGTAAAGTTCCTGCCTGATGCAATGCTAGTCTTTAAAGACCAGAAAGAAACAAGTTTGAGTCCTATTCTAGGCTGATCTCAGCCAACCTCAGAAAGTGAAGAGTGCAAATGTCATCAAGCCCCAGAATTTCATCATTAGCTATTTGACAAACATCTGCCTCCAGTGCAGTGGAAGGTTAGAGATAAATAGGAGTAATATATTTGAAATTCATTTTTATATGTCAAAATGACCACTCCAACAATAGTCCATAATACCAGATATCACATTGTGTCACTAATATCCAGGACCAAGCAGTGAGATGGATTTGTGGTAGACAGAGGAAGTGGCTGGCTCATCGGCAAGACTTACAGGGGCAGGCCAGTCACTGAGGCAAGGATTCTTCCCATACACTCCTATTAGCCCTGCAAGCTAAAGTTTTGGCTGGCGAAATTTCAGCAATACCCAAGACCTACAGCCAGGTCCCAGAGCCTTGACCCTTGCCAACCTGTACCTAATATTCTCTAGAATTAGCTAAGCAGGGTGCATCTCTCTGGGAGCGTGCACCCCATTTCAGACACAAGAAAATTTCCAAGTGCATGTTGCATACATTTGTGGAACTCTGGTCTGGTTTGGATACACTGACTAAAGCAAGGGTTTTCAAACTGGATGGCATGTACCCCTGGGGATACATAAACAGGTTACTGGGTAATTTTTTTTTCTTGCTTTATCAGCATTTTACCCAAGCCTGGGGGGAGGGGGGGAGAGAAGCTGATTGTGAGGAGAGGACGGGCCTCAGAGAGAGAGAACCCCTTCCCACACACGCCACACGCACACGCAAACACACACACACAAAATATCGGTTTGGCCTCTTCTGTCCGATTGAAATATCGATTGCTAACCAGCCCGGGGACAAGAAGCCAAGAGAGAGATGAGCCCATATCTCCCCATGAGCGCACAAACATGGTATGTTGAAAAAAATATGGTGGCAAATATGGGACATTAAGCTCCGAAGTAGGGCCCCACAAATAAAGTTTGAAAACCACTGCTCTAAAGGTTCATATTCTAGGCTAGGAATAATTAGAAAGCAATTTGTTTTATAAATTGACATTTGACAATCTCTAGTACTATATTTGATCGTGGTCGAGCTAACGGTTGAGCAGTTGTGCTTTTGTTTTTAGGCTGATTAGTTTTGCAGCGTAATAAATGTTTCATTTGTGCCCCTAAATCAATGTGTATTGCAATATTTTGGTATTATTTGTATTAATTTTAAGTAACTGTGAGCTCCAGCTGAGACAATCATATTCATTGGAGGGCTTATTCAATATATCAAGTTTTATAAACATTCTCTCTTCTTATTCCCAGGTTGGAAATTTACCAAGTGATTATTCAATCGAGATCAATTTTTTTCCAAAAATAGCAAATGCGGTATGTATATCCCACTTAATATGATTTTAACACATAGCTCCCTGACATAAGAAAAGTTGTAGAATGAGAAAATGTGTCTCATGCCTAAAGTGATGGGAGCTCTTTGAGTATTAGTTTTAAAAAAAAGCTTCCTATAGCTTTCCTGAAAACAATAGCTTGCACTGGATATGATTTCATGAGAACTGGAACCTTGCTATAGGAAGCCCATGTGCCCATTCATGTGTGAGGCTGGAGTGGGAGAGTCTGAATGCTATTCAACTATGTTGGTCATGAAATCACAATTTTGGTATGGATGAAAAGGCCTTTCTGTTTGCTCTCATCCTGTCACCCTACTAACGCTGTATGAAGCGGATTCTTAAATAAGTCCAAAGTGAGAAATTCCACCTGGGTCTAGATTTACCCTATTAAAGTAACATTTCAATGCATCCACAAAATACACAGTCAATCCACCTGACAGTATATCCTGTGAAGCACTTTGAGACCCCTCAACGACATGATGAGGCGCTATATCAAATGTAAGGATTATTATCAGTAGTAGTGGTTCAATCTTAACTTTGAAGTTGTTTCTCTGTAGTTCTTCAAAGAAACGTACAGAAAAAAGGCTTCACAATTAAGGCTACATATAAGAATTTGCTAAAGTCCAAAATTTGTTTAATAAGAGTCAATCCAGGACCAGGTGGAATTTCTCCCCTGCAGTGTCCTGATGTCTACCACCCTTCCTGGTAACCCTTCCAGTTATTGATTACCCTCTCTGAAAGAAGTACTTGCTGATCTCTGTCCTAAAAGTATAATATCTAAACCGTGCTTGTTCAATGTGCGCTTGCACTTGCACTTTTCCTGGATAGTTATCAGGAGCTGGAAACAAGCTACAACAATAATAATATCTCATAGGCGCACAATCAGAAATCAGGTCAATCCAGATCAGGTGTATTTATTCCTTCGCTCTTGCGAGCCTTACCGAATGCTCTCCAAAATTAGGTCAGCAAAATGTATCACTTCAGGGAGAAATTTCTGCGTTCCATTCCAGTGCACGGGAATTGCCGTGCGTAGGTAGCATACGCAGAACTCTGAGCATGGTGACGTTTACATATCTTATTATTTTGCATAAAGTGATCAAAAACGATGGCACAATTATATGTTAGCAGAGATTTGTCCCTGTTTGCATTACATCTGCTTTCATTGTTTTTTTTCCCCTACAGAATGACTCATGCTGGATGTATTTGACAGTACCTGAAATGTCACTTAGCCTGGATAGCCTTTTGCGAAAGTTTGCAGAAAACTCATCAAATTATTTAATTATCAAAAAACTCCAACGGATTATGGATGGAATTTACAGTTGCCTGGTTGCAGCAAGCAAGGTACAGTGTTGACTCAATGTGATGTTAGTAAGATTCTGTAAGTAAATCCTTTGAGGACGATAGAATGAAAAATGTATTGTTGGAGGGAATTTCTCCCCATTCAGTACCAGTGGAGGAATACTCAACCCATTATACCTTGAAAAAACATAAATCTATGTAATTTTCTATATGTTTTCACTTGTTTCATGGGAGGTTCACTTCAAATGAACAAAGTAGAATTTATGTCTGGCTCAGTTGGCAGGGCTCTGATCGCTGAGGCAGAAGGTTGTAGATTCAAACCCGATAATGGTAGCTCCTAGTCGAGGCTGTCAATCCAGTGCAGTGCTGGGATAGCACTGTGTTGTCAGAGGTATAATCTTTCAGATGAAATGTTAAATTGAGGATCCATGTTAATATGGTCATTAAATTGCTTACCGCATCATGAAAAGAAAAGGGAGTTTCTTCCAGTCTCCTGGCCAACAATCCTTCACATAAAACAGGTCATTCACAGGTCTTTTTGTAGGACATTGCTTTGTGCAACTTGGCTACAGTGAGTCACCATTCCATTAAATCCTGTTGCAGCATGCAAATCCTGTGCTTTGAGATGTTTTGATAATGTTTCCATAATACACTATATCAAATGCAAGCATCACTTATTATTAATGATTATTATTATGTATTCCTCTGATGACATAGTAGATAAAGGCGCTGCATGTACAGAATTTGGTCATACAGACGAGAAGGTTGCAGATTCTTCCTCTGTGCTGGCATTAGCTAATTTTGGTTGGGCCAGATGCTAAAACTGTTTCAGTCTTAACAGGACTAAAAATTGATAAAAGAACCAATTGATTATTTATCTGTCAATTAATACATTTCCAATCTTGTTAAGATGACATCTGTTTGGATCTGTTTACAGGAACATAGGAACAGGAGTAGGCTATTCAGCCGCTCAAACTTGCTCCGCCATTCTATTAGATCATGGCTGATCTTACCTTAACTCCAAATATCCGCTCTTATCCAAATATCCCTTGATACCCTGACCTAATAAAAATCTATCCACCTCAGTCTTGAAAATTTGAATGGATACAGCATCCACAGTCTTTTGGGAGAGAGAGTTTCAGATTTCCATGACCCTTTGCATGAAAACTGCCTCCTGATTTCACTCCTAAATGGCTTAGCTCTAAGTTTACAACTATGCCCTTTTGTTCTGGATTCCCCACCACAGAAAATAGTTTCTCTGTAGCTACCCTGTCGAATCCCTTTATCATTTTAAATAGCTCAATCAGATCACTCATTAACCTTCTAAACAATGGGAATACAGACTTTACTTTGGTTTCTGTTTGATTAATTGCATTTGTTATGCATATGGGAGTGACCAAGACATCTAAACCTAGTACATGATTCTGCAAAAGAACAATTCAAGTTACCTAAATAACTAATGCGTTGATTATTCTTTTAGGATTTGGAAGAAATGGACTATGATTGTGAAAGTTCCAGCCGTAAACCAACAGATTACTTTGATTACTTTCGTGAAATTGTCAACACATTTCAAAGAGCAGATAACAACTGCCCATGTGATTCTGAGGTTGTCTGCAGCAGAATAGACCCAACAACCCCAGGTAAAGTCCATTATAGTTAGTCTACTCAAAATTCATCTTAAGTGTAGCAACTCCATCAAGGTTCAAATGTATAACGTCCAATTCCAAACTCACGCCACCAAAATAATTCTTACTGTCCAATGGAAGAAAATGTTCTTGAGTTTGCTGACATACAATCGCACACACTCCAAGGGAAAGGGCTCAGTGACGAGTTATCCAGAGCAGCTAGTTAGAGACATACATGCATACATGCATACATGCATACATACATACATAAAAATATATATATATGGCCGGGATATTGACTTTAGTGTAAATGATAAGTTCAGGCAGTGTCGAGTTATTGGGCGTTTACTGACTTTGATTATGTTTTTACTTCAATAAAACGTGTAAGTACTATCTTCTGATGTTAAGAATATGGAATGTTTAAAAATGTCGATGGACTTTAATAACCTTGCGAAACTCCTCGAGTGATATGGTCTCAAAGCATATTCAGGTATTCAAGATTACTTTCATGTAGCATTGCAGTTAAGTAGACATTTAGAGTGGTAATACTGTCAATACAATACTTATAATTGCTTTGCTCCCAGCGTTATAAACAGTAAAAAAAAGTAAACGGCAAAGTTGGATAAGTGACCTTTAGTCTATCGTTTAAAACTTGGAGTTTGTATTACTTTTTTTTTTAAAAAGGATTTATACTTCTGAACTATGTGTAAGTTCTCTCCAGGTATTCTTTGTTTTCTACGATGAACACAAGTTCCCTGTAGACTCTGCTCTCTTGTTGACTTTGAGCACACACTGTCAGGAGGCCTTTGGTGTGGTTATGTGAAATCATAGGCTAAGCATTAAAATGATGTTTACCATCTGCATGTTCTGACAAAAGAATGTGCAGATGTAAGGATATCCTTTTGGAGCAGACAAAGCAGCACTAATGTTTCTAATGTTAAAACGCACGGAGTAGCATTGTATCAAAGTGTTTTATGTGCTCTGAAGAAACGTATACAAATACAGTTGTTTGTGTCGTCATAAAAAGAGTGCTATTAAAGTATCTGCTCAATACCAACTATTACTGCCCTTACTGGTAAAGTCAACAGAATTGAATTCAGTCAAAAGCAGTTCAGATTTTACTTTTATATTATCTTGTTTTGATCTTCAGCTGCTTTTTATCCCACTCTTACACTGGCTGTATTTTATGGCAGTACCCATAACATTTCTATTACCTTTGCTTGCCCGCATGTGTTGAAATGAAGTAAGCTTTACTCTCAGCAATTTTTTTTCAAAACCTTTTGTAATCTGCCTAATGGTCAAAATAAATAGAGGAAAACTTGCTTGAATTGGATGCGTGGAAACAAGTGAGGTGGCAGCCACATTTCCAGGCACATGCAAATCTGAAATCCAAACTCAAAACAGTTCAGGTCTCGTACCCAAATCTGAAGTGGGTTTCAATGTGTTTGAGTCGTGACTTATCTACCAGCCTTCACATCCATCAGATTCTCTCTGTCATTTCCACCACTTGAGCCATGATCTCAGAATCAAACCATCTCTCCGTCCTTCCCCTCTCTGCCCTTCAGGAGGGCCCAATCTTTCTGTTTCTGTAACTCTCTCTCACTAAGCAAATAGTGCATTTTTGCTTGCATAGCAGAGCCACGTAGTCTCTGGCATTCACAAGTACTTTTCCGAACTCATATTATTGGTGTTCAGCCGCTTCAGTCTCCTAGAGCCACAGCCTCACTCTCTTATGTTAAAGTCCTGCAGCTCAAAAAACAATCTTTACTGAATGTAGAGCGGGATTCCAAAATCCCTCCACAATGTATCCTCTAGAGACTCCCTGATGTCAGAAACTTGTCAAAAAAACTACCTCTTTGGCCTTGCCTTTAATCACCGTTTCCATTTCCCCCTACTTCTTACCGTGCCCTGTGCCCCACACAGTCCCACATCATGTGCTTTGAGACATTCTCCAACTTATTGTACATCTGGTAATTGTTAAGAAGCACACCCTTCCAATATTTCAAGAAAACAATTTATTAAAGACTTGGCATCCGATGTTCAAATCCCTTCCAACAGTAGACAATCTAAAAATACGTGGCATTTTGCTGTATATTTGCTTAGTGAGAGAGAGTTACAAGCTGTGCTATTTTCAAGCAGACTACATTAATCTCAAATTCCCAATCTTGCAAAAATAGCTGAGGATCAGGGTAATTTAATCAAGACTTTCTGATCCGGATTAGACAGATCAGGCCAAAGCACTATCAGGGAGATCAACAGTAAACTAGTATTAGTTTACTATTATAGTTAAAGACCACACACCTAAGGGTCATTATTTGTTGTGTAGTATTTTTGAATATGAAACTGCTCTGTCTAAACTGAGGAATCTAGTTAGAGGAGAGTTTATAAAAGCAAGAATGTTTTATTTTGTGTTGCCAAAAGTTAGAGAACAGGCCCTTTACAAATAAACCTACTTATAATAATAATCATTGCATTTGATATAACACCTTATCATGTCTTTGAGACTTCTCAAAGAGATGTACTTACTGCAGAATACAATTATAATGGTTTTAATAGTGTATTCCGATAGAATCTTGGCTCTTATATAACTATCGTTCACAATGTTTGTTTAACTAAGGAGTAATTTGCTACTGGAAAGCAATTGAAACTGTGGTCCTAAGACAGGCTATTGATATTTATTTCATCTACGAGAAAAATGTTGTACCATTTCTTGAATGTTCTTGTTGCATTATATAAACCTTTATTCACTATCAGATGTCAGGGAGTTGCAGTTCCTTGAATTACTGTAATTTTCCTCAGTTCTAAAGAAAAAATACATTTAAACTTTCAGTTGAAATCCCAGAGCTTAACTGTTACTGTGAAAGAAATTATTTTTGTAGAGGTTCTTACTTCCAGATTTATCATGTTTGAGTGTAGAATAGCAATGAGACAAAGTAGTGTATGTTTCTTTTTTAAGGATTGAGTTGAGCTTTTGAGTTGCGATGCACGAACAACGTCACATATTCTGTTATTCTGTTTACCTCGCATAGTTTCTGACAAATTCAATTGAAATTCTGAGTGTGCTTTAGTTTCAATTGAAACTAGATTTTAATTCAGCATGGTGAGCTTGACTTCAAATGGAATGGATATAATGGAATGCGTTGTTCTCACAAGCATCGAGTATGATGAGAAGCAAGTTGATGCATGGATTTGGTGTCATAGGAAGGTTGAATTCACTGAGGGATTGGAAGCCATTGTAGCCAAGCAAGGATTGGGCTAATGGGCTTGCAAAATCATAATACAAAAGAGGATACAAGGGACTATTGTGATCAGTTTGTCTAGATCTACGCTTTTAATTTTGATATTTTAGCTAATTTAAAAATAAAAGTGAATAATCTATATGCACATCTACTATTAATCTTCTTTTTGTACTGTTTGAAGTCTTCTGGAAACTAAAATGTGAATAGTGAATAGTTCTATTAGAAAGCGCAAAGTTCCAGGGAAGGGAATTGAAAGGGAAAGATAGTCACTTATAGGATGAGGATGAGGATCTTAAATAATGACCCTATACAAGTACAGAGTTCATTTGGTAAGGTTGAATTGCATATTAGTGAGCCCCATCTACTTTTTTGGCATATTTTAAGATGTCTTAGTTCATTGTGAGTTTAATTTCCCATTGTCAAGCAAATCGCTAACTGAGCAACAGTTCCTCCCCATTCATTTCTCTCTCAACTTTCTTTCCCTGGAACTGATGTGGTAATTTCAATGTAACTTTAGCTCTTTCCGCATTACTCACATTTATGTTGTTTTTTGTGTGTATGGTCTCCGTACCACATCTTCGCCATTACAGTTGCGATACGATTTCTATTGCACTGGTAAAGAGAGTGTAAAGGAACACTGTTCACTCCAGCCTGGTATTGGCACAACACAGCTGTACCTCCACTGGGCTCTTTTGTACCATTTGCACTTCTGAACTGTGGCAGTGAAAAAAAATACAACCAATGTAATGCAAGGTCACCTTCTTCTTGGAACCTTTGATTTCTAGGACTGAACTCAGAGCTGTCTATAGTTCCGATTCTTTCTTAATAAACAGGTCTACTCATACTCTGCTCCCCCGCTCAGCTTACACAAGTCTGCTGTGCATCCCTGCCCCTTCTCCACTACCATCGGTGGCCGAGCCACCGTGTGCAAATTTGTGCGCAAATCGGCTGCCACGTTTTGCCTGCAAAACACAAGGCCACTTTAAAATAGTATAAGGTATATTCCTTGAAGTGCTTTGAGTTGTCCTGACATGTAGTTGTGCTACACCAAATGTAACGATTGTTCATTTTTATTATTTATGAAAGTAAAAGCGTCAGGAGTGTTTGTAGACGAGTGGGAATCAGATGCTGCTGAGACTTTGACATTGTCAAATGTTGCTCTAAAATTCTGAAAATGATTGGACCTTTCTAACAGATGAAATCCGGTGACCAATTTTTCAATCTTTTCCTGACAAATTAAATTAAATTTCCCTTAAGACAAATTATCCTTTTTTCACTTCTGGTAAGATGGCTTTCTGTACACAGCGATATATAACTGTTTGGGAGAGGGTGATGCTGGTTGAGATGATTCACTGCAGAGATTTTCCACGTTGTATTGCAGTTGCACAAACATCTGTAAACAATCAGCAGTTCTTTCAATATTAAGTAAAAAAAGTTTACAAGTAGCAGTTTGGGAGATCTATTATTGAGGAGGAAACCATATTATTACAGTTCTGTTGGCATTATTTCATAAACACATACAAAAGCACCAACCTTATCCTTCACAAATTACATTTCATTAGAAAAGAATTTGAATTTTTATAGTGCATTCATGGCTAAACCTAGTGATTAAATAATAATTTACACAAATAATTTCTGTAAAGTGCGGTTGTCTGTTTGGTGGACAAACATCACATATTTGTGTGTTTGGAAGGTCCCAAGAACAGCCATGAGGTGAATGGCCAACTTATCCGGAGGATTGATGGTCAAGACACCAAAAGAACCTCACTTCCCTTTTTGATCAGTGTCATGGGACCTTTAATGTCCACATGATGGAACCATGTTTTAAGGCCATCCTCTAAAAGATGACAACTCAGACAATACAGCAAGTCCCCCAATAGTGTGCTGGAGTATCATCTTAGACTGAGAGTTCCAATTATCAACAAAAAAGGACTTTATATGACTGGGAAGGAAATGTCTACTTTTTTAAAACCATATATGCATTGATGAATTTCATGTTCACCAAGTTGAATCATCTAATGCTGGGAAATAGAACAGTCTCTCATTGTAGTCATCTAGTTTCATATCAAACAGATTCCTAATTCTCAGGTCAGGTACAGCATAGTTGGAGCTCCCTCAGTGAGATAGTGAGAACCTCTACCTATAACCGCTCCGTAAAATGATCGGTAGGTAAACACATTTGAAGGCCTGTTGATGTATCTCTGATATGATCGCAAGAAACGCATTGCTAGTGATAATTATCACAAGGAATGCGTTATCAAAGGTCATATATGTTACCCCACGGGGGGCAGTTCTTTCAGCTTTTTGATATATAATGTCAATGTGTGAGCATTACATTGTGTTGTAATGGGTCAACCAAAATATCTGCTTACATAATTATATCTGTGGTCAATCATTGCTTTGTGGGAACGACTAAAGGAGAAAAAGGAAATTGCATGTTTGCACATCCAGCTTTGTATTGCTCCCTGGCCCTGCTTCAGAAGTAATACTAATACAATGGGAGCCAGTTCTGGAAAGCTCAGTGAAAGAGTCACAGTACTTGCAAAGAGTCTTTCTTTCATATAATACACTGACAGCACCCCACCCTTTTCTACCTAGGGCGTGGCTCAAACTCCACTGCACATGTACTGGAGCAGAGTAATAAAACCCGTGCGTCCAAGTGTGAACGCATACATCCGGAGCTGGCTAGGCCGGGCCGTGCAAAAAGACACATTCTCACAGCCAGTAAGTATCTACACACTAATAGCTGGACAAGAAAGCTGTAAAAGTGGCATGTTATTATGACCCAAGGCCAGTGTGTTAAATCTTTCCTGTGAAATTCCTGATCTCTAGCTCTTTAACTTCGGAATCTAGAGGATAGCTTCGTGCAGTACACATGCTTTGGAGATGGGTCGTAACAGCATCCTGTAGTGACTGGGAAAGGGTAAATCGGTGTGTTGTAATGGCAGTTCTTGTTTTGTTAACATTTTATTGCTCAAGTGAAAATCAAACAAATTGAGTTGAACTGTTCAGAAAGCGCCAAAGGTTGGTGAACAATTCAGAAGTGTTGTGACCTTTAAATGTCACTTGACATTTATAGAATGATTTCAGTTTATTAGAGCCTGACTACCAATATAAACCTCAAGTGAGAAATTCCTTGTGCCATTAAGTAACATTGTCAATTTGTGTTAACAGGGCATTCAACCCTTGTCAATGCACATCATCAAGGACACTACACAAACGCATGAAGAATCTCCCCTTTTTAGAAAATAAGGGCCAAGTAGCTGTCCAGCTATCTTTTACTTAGTTAATTATTTCCTCAGTTATAAATTGTCAGTTGGTAATTACTCTTTGGTAAGTAATGTATCTGAGACATAGCTGGGAAGTTTTGATATGCTGAGCTCTGTATTACTAGAATTGTGGATGTTGAATAGTGAGATAGCAACGATGTAGTGCTTCAATAGTTGCTCTTACATAACCTCATGTTGACTGCCAATCAGTAACTCTTCAGACTCTGAATAGTATCATAGTCTTGCTTCTGTTTACCTAGCAATAAGTAGGAACCCGGTTGTTAGTCGATTGGCAGATCGCATTACTGGGGGTCATAATCTCTTCAAGTAAAATAAAAATAATAAAAATTTGATCACTCGATCCATGACTCTTTGTGGGACACTGCTGTGCGCAATTGGCTGCACATTTCGCCCACAAAATATAATCAATTCACTTTACAGTATATCCTGTGAAGCGCTTTGAGATGTCTCAAAGATGTGATAAGGCGCAATATCAAATGCAAGGATTATTATTACTAAAGAAAACCTAAAATTAAACTAAATTACTATAATATCTTATTTTCCACCTTTTTCCCTATACTAAAACTTAGTAACATCTCAGTGTGAAAGTTGTAGAGGCACATTCCTACCGATGTTTCATTCAAGTTTGCATTCATAAATACAAGGACAGGGTCACTTTTATAACCTCAGCTCCTTCTGTGATTATTCCCTTGTCAATTTGCTCCCGTTCTGTCCCGAAGCTGCCAACACTTTCTGATGTACAGTTCTCGGACCTCCTGGAACCCTCCAAAACCTTGTCCGGTTGTTCTTTCTTTGCACGAGTCAAGACGTTGAATGTTATCTTACAAATTCAGCCATGGGACGCATTGCAGCTGAGGCTGGCCCTGTCTTCACCTGACATCCACGCAAGCCTGTTTTACAGCAGAGGTTATTGGGTTACTGTTTGAAGTAGGAAATCTGATGATTGTTCTCCTCCTTAGCTTGGGTTCAATTTTATTACTGTACTTCCCCTCACTGCAATCAGATAGTTCCATCAGAGGCTAGACATTGAACATAGGACTGGCTAGGAGGTGATGGTTTAGTTTAACACCAGTTCATAGTTTTACCAGCTGAGCCAACGTGTGGCTCATTTTACGAATTTATGTGGTGGATCCCAAATTTAGCTTGTAAGATTCTGAAATTTTAGATGGTCTAGAATTGAGGAAAATTGTTTTTCACAGTTGTTGAAAAATAACTATTTTCCAGATTAGAATTGAATTTAAGAATGTTTCCACAATTTTACAAGATCTTAGATTTTAAGACTAAACAGCCTTACCGACTATGACTAGGTGGTACTTCACGTCCATTCCTTTGCACTTTTTCTTAGAATCTCTGTCTCATATTTCCTGTGTACTATGAGCAATACATCAGGTAGTAGCATGCAAGACTTCTTGCTAGAAGAAGCTTCCATTGAAAAGGTTTAGTGAGGTTTCATTTCAGTTCCAATCTATTGCGTGTCCAGAAGCACGGTGTGAAGTCCTGCACTCCAGTTTCCAGTTGAAGGGGGTAATAATCCCTTCAACATTTATATAAAAAAATAATAGTATGGTCATGCAATCCACGACAGTTTGTGGGACATTGGTGTTGTGTGCAATTGGCTGCTGTGTTTTGCCTACAAAAATATAGTCAATCCACTTTACAGTATATTCTGTGAAGCGCTTTAAGATGTCAAAGATGTGATAAGGCGCTATATCAAATGCAAGTATTATTATTATTCTGTCAGCCTCAAGACAATTAATTCAGATGGTACTAAGAGTTTAGCCCAATTGCAGTTTCTATGTCAAAAGAAGAGTGAGAAAGGCCTAATTTAATCAATACATGTGCATTATTTAAGCAGTAGATATACATTCACTCAATCTGTCGCTGAGGTGTCATTCAATGACTCCAGTAATTTCCAGCAGTCACTGGTGAGATCAGAGGTCTAGTTAAATGGGGGTGTTGCCTCTTTGCCATAATGACATGGTCATGTTATAATGATTCCTGCACTTGATATACCATGTCATCAAAATGTCTCAAAGTGCTTCACAGGATTTTACTGTAAAAAGTGTAAGTGTCTGTATTTGTAGTTGAATCAGTGCAATAGAGGGCTAATTGAGAATTAGTCATGGTTTCATGGTTCTATGGATACATCTAAGTCAATGTTGTGACTTTCAACCCCACAGCCATAACTTCCTGATTCAAATCATATCATTACTGTATTACAGTATTAATCTGATTTTTTTTGAAAAATAATACAATCTACTGTCTGTTAACCCAGTTAGATGTCTCTCCAAATGGTCTTCCTTTTCAGATAGCACATGCTAACATAATTATGTTAATAGTAATTATCCTTGTATTTATAGTACCTTTCACATTGGGAGGACGTCTCAAAAGGTTTCGCGGGATTTAGTGTAAAAAGTGTAGTAATTCTGTATTTTTGTAGGTGAACATGGCGGCCAACTTGCACACAGCACATCAGCTGAACAGTCCTCAGTTGGTTCTTTTCAGCGTAAAGAAGGTGAGCAGATTGTGCACTTTGAGGTGGAATTCTGTTTGGCAGTAGAAAGTTTCACCTCAAAGTAAAGTAATAACGTTGTCTGTAGAGAAGTCCAGCAACCAGGCCAACCAGCCCTATTGGAGGAGGAAATGAGGAACTTTAGGGAACGAGGCAGAGAAAGATGTGAAGAAAATGTAGCTGTAACAAAACCCAAAGCCGAACCACATGGAGATCTAATTAAGGCAGTCAGGTGTGAAATAACCGAAATAAAATTAGAGCTAATCTTTCGGCGGCCTTCACCGCAGATCACCACAACCCTCATACATGCATTTATGACATCCAGCTTGACTATGCAAACTCCTTGCTTGTTGGCCTCTCCACCTCCTCCCTTCATAGGCTGTGGATCATCCAGAACTCTGCAGCCCGTGTCCTCTCCCGCATCAGGCTCCGTGATCCTATCACCCCCATCCTCGCCCGACTCTACTGGCTTCCCATCACACAGAGGATACATTCAACATCCTGAGCCCTCCATGACCTCGCTTCCGCCCTACCTCTTCGACCTTTTAACTCCCTACCAACCTGTCCGCACCCTCCACTCAGCGGTCTCTGGCCTGTTTCACGTCCCCTGCCTCGCCCGCCCCACCACGGCCTGGCAGGCCTTTAGCCACTTTGCCCCCACCCTCTGAAACTCCACCCCGCAGTCCCTCTGCCTCACCTCCTCACTTGCATCCTTACGTCCCATCTCAAGACCCTCCTCTTTGACAGTGTCTTCGATCATCCTCCTTGCCCCACTGTCCTCCACCCTCCCCGATCCCGACCCCCAGCTCGGGTCCAAAACACTGACTGTCCAGCGCCTTGGGACGTCCTCCCGACATGAAAGGCGCTATACAAATGTCATTTTGATGTTGTTGTTCAAAGATTGTTTTGGTTGTTGAGTTTATTTTACTGCATTCCAATCACATGCCTAGAGGACAAGCAGACTTATCCCTGGAGTTAGCTGACATTGCTCAGTAATAGATGGAGCAGTGCTCTGGGACACTACCCTGCATGAAGGGTTGTTGTTGCCTCAACTCCATGTGGTATCCTTTTCCTAACTGGTTCACCAACAGCAGGAACTCACTGTGTGCTGAGTCTTGTTTGTCTCGTTCATACTTGTCAGGACCTGCTACATTTGAGGAACAGATAATAATCTGAAAGATGAGATGACTGATAACGTTTTTTTTTAGGCTGAACTGAAACCAATTCAAACATGAAATTTCCATGATCCTTTTATCTCGATTTGTTATCTTGAGAATGTTTCTGAAGGTAGTTTTCACGATGTTACTTTTTATTTTACACAATATTTTTTCTTTCGGTGACTGTTCTTGCATTGAACATGCACCAGCCACAAAGGTGTACCGTCAACTTCTGGTGGTGGAGAAGTTGGTGGTGGTGGAGAAAGGAAATCAGATACTGTTGATTACTCCCGTTGAAAATGCACCCCTTCTTTCTTGAATCATTCAGCTTCAGAAAGCTTGTATTAATTCACCATTGTATTTTGACTCATGGACATGGATTATAGACATTCCTAAAACATTAACTCGCAAAACCTTGTAGTGTAGTGGTTAGACCACTTGCCTTGCAAGCAAGAGGACCTGGGTTTGATTCCCGGGCAGGGCAAAATGTTGGGCATGTTTCCTTATTCCACACGCCTCTGTTTACCGAGCAGTAAGTAGGAACCCGGTTGTTAGTCATTCAACATCAACCACAACTTTCACTCATATAACGCCCTCCACACAGGGTAGCGTCTCAGAGCGCTTAACAGTGGCGGAGCCTGACTCCAAGCCGGGGGGAGTGAGGAGGTGAGCATAAGCATGGTTGAAGAGGAAAGTTTTCAGGCGGGACTTGAAAGTGGGGAGAGAGGGTGCAAGGCGGGAGGATTGTAGGAGAGTGTTCCAGAGTTTTGGGGCATAGTGGCTGAAAACACGACCTCCAGTGGAGGCCGGTGCCAGTCGGGCAGAGGCTCCGGTTGGTGGATTGGGGAGTGAGGAGGTCGGAGAGGTAGGGAGGTGCCAGGGAGTGAATGGATTTGAACACGAGTTCAAACACCAGTTCTGGCCCAGTCTCCACTGGCTACCCATCACATATGGTGATGGGTAGCCAGTGGAGACTGGGCCAGAACTGGTGAGATGTGGACACGGAGTTTGGTCCAGGTCAGTATACGGGCAGCAGAGTTTTGAATGAGCTGGGTCTTGTGAATGGTGGAGCTGGGGAGACTAGCGAGGAGTGTGTTGGACTAATCCAAGTGGGAGGTGACAAAATGCATGCACGAGGGTTTCGGCTGCATTTGGGTTAAGGTACAGTCGGAGGCAAGCAATGTGGTGGAGGTGGAAGAAGGCGGTCTTGGTCAGGGACCATATGTGGGGGATTCAGCTGGGAGTTGAACCGGATGCCTAGATTGTGCACTGGTTCGGTGAGTCTGAGGGTGAGCCCAGGGAGGTTGAGGAGTTTAGATCTGCAGGAGTGAAGACTTTGACGGGAGCCAAGGAGTATGGCTTCCGTCTTGTCTATATTCAGCTGCAGGAAGTTTACACTTATCCAGGCTTTGATGTCTGCCAGACAAGCTGATAGAACATTGGCGGACCTGGAGTTGGTACTGGAGGAGGCCAAGTAGATTTGTGTATCATCCACATACAAGTGGAAGTTTACGCTGTGTCTGCGGATGACATCACCCAGAGGTAGCATATAGATAAGGAAAAGAAGAGGGCCAAGGATGGAGTTCTGGGGTAATCCGCAGGTGACCGGGTGGGGGCAGGAGGAGAATCCATTTGCTGAGAAGAAGTTGGTTAAGTAGGACTCTAACTCTCCAAAAATAAGTAATAATAATTATTTTTTCACTCAATAATAATAATAACTCAAGCCACGGACTGTTTGTGGGATGCTGTCGTGCACAATTGGCTGCCACAAAACATACAGTCAATTCACTTTACCCTATATTCTGTGAAGCGCTTTGGGATATCTAGAAGATGTGATAAGGCTCTATATCAAATGCAAGGATTATTATTAAAACCAGATGGCAATGATATGTTTCAAGCTTCTGACCTGCACTTTTTGCAACACAATTGTTTAAATTATCAAGGATTAACACAGTACAGAGTGATCTGTAATATTCAGCTTTTTAATACAAAATTTCAAGTGACGTCAAGTGCTGACCATACTTTGTATTTTCTTCTTTATGCAGGCAAGATACAAAATGGAAGTTACCAAGTCTTCATCTCTGTTTCACTCAGTCTTAATTTGGCGGCCAGTTCTTATTAAGGACTGTAGAAAATAGCCTGCAAATTAAGATTAAATTGAGGAACTTTTCGCAGTTCTGCATTAATTTAAATGTTAGTCAAAAAAGATCCTATGGTGAGACTGAGTCAAAATTGGGGTTCCTGGATTCAAATCGAGTGCAATCTTCCCTGCACAGACTGCAGACTATCCAGAAGTCTGCAGGCTGTGTCCTCTCCGTATTGGCCTCCACAATCCCATCAGCCCATCCTTGCTTGGCTCCACTGGCTTTCCATTCCCCAGCAAATTCGAGTTCAAAATCCTCATTTAAATTTGGTCTTGCCCCAACCTACCTCTGCAACCTCCATCATCCATACCAACCCAGCGGTTCCCTTTGCTCACCTGACACTGGCTTACTTCACCTTATTGCTCTATCTGCCCCACCATTGGTGGGCGTGCATTTAGCCAGTTGGCACCCACTCTCTGGAGCTATATTCCCAGATGCCTGACTTGCTCCCTCCCAATGTGAAAGGTGTAATATAAGTGTAAAGTGTATTGTAGCTGTTAACTGTAGGGTCCTATATGAAATACATTTGGGTGTCTCAGCCCAGTTCTAGTCACTTGTGAGTTCACAAAACTACCTGTAATTCTGCCCTTAAGCCCTAAATTCCAAGGAATTTGAAACATGTAAAACTAGGACAGGAAGAATATTTCTGAGGTTGTGAACAAGGCACTGTTGAGAACAGGGAACTTTGCTTTTCATCTAATTGTTCTAGAACAATTGATCAGGGAGAACTTGATATTGATAAAATATTACCGAAATAAGAGAGCGTCTTATTTCCCTTGATTAACTTCCTTGAGAGATCAAATAAAATTGGGGTCATAGGTGTGGTATTCCTAAAGACAATCCATTCATGTAAATTTTTTTTTCAAAATGTTATTTTATGTTTGTATTTCCTATGTTGCATGACTCATTGTTGCTATGACTGCAGACACCAAATCAGTTGACGTCATGCTTACAGAAATTTTAAAATGTTTATATTTTCTCACAAAGGCTTTGGGAACTCCTGATAGTTTCTTATTGTAGTTTCAAGTTTATTTGTACCACATAAATTACTTGATATAATTAGACCCCTGCATGCAGAAATTTGCCCTTATGTACCATTGAAGTTGAATCAGAGTCCTGTAGCTCAATGATTAGAGCACTCGCCTCGCAGTGAGCGACTATTACACTACACCCAACAAGACCCAGGTTCGATTCCTTGGGCAAGTTTCCTTACTCCACTCCCCCTCAAGAAAAAAATAATCCCTCAAGAAAAAAAACGATAAGAAATTGGTCACTTCAATCCACGACTGTTTGTGGGACACTGCTATGCTGCCGTCAATTCACTTAACTTTGGGACACTGCTGTCAATTCACTTTACAGTATACTCTTGAGGCGTTTTGAGACAACTAGAAGATGTTAAAAGCACTATACCAAATGCAAGGATTATTATTATTATTAATCCCTATTTACATTTGCTGTAATGTGTGAAGCAGGAAAAAATTGTTTTTTTTCTAGTGTTTTGATGAACCACTTTGGCGAACTGTCTGAAACAGCTGTGGAGCCTTGTTGTAATGCAATGTTTGGAAAATTCATAAAATTCCAATCTGTAGCGAGGCAAAAGAGCTGGATGGACCTCACAAACACACAGCTGTGCTAAAAGTAAAATGGCCAACTTCCAGGTCATCTTGTCGCTGCCATCATCAGTTCGGCACTGACCTCATGATCCAGATATCAGCAATCTTAGCATGAAAGTCGCCCAGATCACACAGGAAACAATTGGGCTGGTTGTACGTACTCACAGTGAATGGGGTCCACAGTACAACCGTGTTATATCTGAAGTTCTAAAGAGGTGCGTTTTAACAGAGCTGTACTGCAACCCCAGGCTCAGATCACTATTGGCTCTTGATCAATTCACCTACAGATAACTGCAATGCAATTTGAATATCGTATTATAAATGGAGCATAACATTATGCATACAAAGTTGCATTGCAGTTATTTACAAGTACACAAATATAAGTTAGGGAAGCTTACCAAATGGAATGCCAGCGCCTTGGGACATCCTCCTGACGTGAAAGGCGGTATACAAATGTAATTTGTTGTTTGTTTGTTGGTGTTGCTTAGCCATTGCCAATGAATTTGCTTCATGAAATAAATGGAGCAGAAACCCCCCCCCACCCCCCGTGATATCTTCTTTCTCGCACTATTCTCTTTTCACTTGAGCTTGGACTTCCAGTAACTTTCTGCAAATACTGTAACACAACTTTATAAAATATTACAATTAATAAATTCCCTTTATTAACTTTTATTGCTGTGTCCCAACCCTTTTCTTACTTGATTTTATCTTTTGCAGCTTTATGATTGCAGCTGTGATGAGTGTGATTACCCCTGGATCACCTTTTCTCACCAGCCTACAAAGCAGTCAATTGCTTTCTGTATTTCCAATCTGTAGCGAGTGCTTATTTTTTGAACTCTGCTTAACTTAATAACTGAATCACTGGTCCATAAAGGCCAGCAAAGTGGTTCTGTTCCCACTGGTCGACCCATATCCCTTAAGAACTGGGAAAGGTGTGGTCCAAGGGAATAGCTGATGTTTGTAAACTGAACAGTAAATCGTTTACTACTACTGAAATCTCAGTTTAACTTTGTGCCGAAACTGCACGAAAAGTTATCCTGTTTGATGCCACATTGACGCAAAACTATTATTATTTTGTCAACAGACCCAACAACAGAAATCCCTTTTTCAATTGATTCAGAGAGCAGAATTGAAGATCCTGGATGTCGTACATCAGTGAAATACCTTATCGTGGTTATAGTCACCATTCTTTCCACTGTGAGTCTCTCTGTGCCTCTAACATGTCTGGCAGTTAGACTGAAGGTATGGTTGCTCTCTAAATTGATAATAGATGTCTCTCAATTAGAAAGAATACAGTTTAGTCAGTTTTTTAAATCTGTACAAATGTCTTTCCATAGCAAAGGAGAAGAAACAGAGAGAATCAAAGCCAACCAGAGGAAAGAAGGTACAACTTTTTTATTATCCAGAGTTTGGGCATTATTTCAAAAATATATTATTTCCCCCATAAGATGCAACATCAAAATACAGAGGTTATTATAAATTCTGAATTCAAAATATATCAGAAGTGAAAAAGACATTCCCTAATTCTGTTTTCTAATATTCTTGGATTGTAATCTGCTATGCTCCCAATATCCTATGGCACTAATACAAAAGTGTCCTGCCCAACAATTCCCCCGGTGAAATTAATTATTCACTTCATGGCTTTTTACGGGATACTGCATTGCACAAATTGACTGCCGTGTTTTCTTATAAAATACAGTCAACACAGATTACATTGCAGATGTCTCAACACTTTTGGTATACCATGGGCGTTACAAGCGTTCTCATCCATTCACTATTCCCACAATGTTATCGGTAATGTAATTACAGGAATATTGTAGTCCATTAAGCATCTGGCTAAGAAATTGACAAAAGGCTGGAGGGGCAAGTACTGACATAGACCAACAAATACTCTCTGGAACACAGTGATCCAATCAAATTGGGACCATGGGAATGTTATCTGTGGAATGCGTTGAGGCAGGGCTCAGTAATGTGGATTTTAGTGTTACTGATGACCTGCAACACAAGACTAAATGACCTAAAACCTCAACTGGGTTAATTTACGGGAGCTACATTTCTGAGTTTTCCTTCTGCAGGAGATTAAAATGAAGGAGTCTATAACAGGTGACTCTATGATTGTCTACTGTCTATGGCAAGGAACTGGCTTGATGGGTCAAAAAAAACTTTTTATGCCACATCTTCCCAAATTCTTATTATTAAAATGCTATTAATTTTAGTCAGCCTATTTCAGCTTTGATACAGTACTTTTTAACTGCTTTTTTATTTTCCAAATATAGTGAAAAAACAAAAACAGCCAACATGGGGAAGAAAGGCTCATTTCTGAGCATATAATTCTATTTAGTCAATAGCGAGTAACTAAAATAACTATAGCTAAGAGTCTTCTCATCAAATAGAAAGTTGTTGGGATGTGGATAGCCCTGCTAAGTTAAGTGGTAGAGACAGATTACACTGTGGGTTTCAAGTGGGAAGGAGACATATATGAAAGAAGCTTGAAGGGGTATGGGGAGAGGGCAGGGCATTGGGATTGAAAGTGTAGCTGGCTCTGAGAGCTGGTGCAGACTCAATGCGCCAGATGCCTCCTACGCTGTAAATTTCTACGATTCCATTAGTCTACAAATATACCACAAAAAAGGCAAAAGCATATTTACACATAACTGCTAAAGACTGAGAAAGAAAGATGTTCAAAGATGGGAGTAGACTTCAGGAACCTGAAAGCAAAAATCACTGACAGAACATTGTAAACAGAGCGTTAAATGAATCATATCTTGTTATAACACAGTGGTCTGGTCCATGAAATTGGACCCCGTGTTAAAACAGATCACAATGCAGCGTGATTGTATTCAAGTGCTCTGAGACACTGCTCTGAGTGGAGGGCGCCATATAAGCACAAGTATTTGTTGTGTTGGTTGACATTCAGCACTTCCAGGTGGGCAGGTCATCAACGCTATTGCTGTTGACTGCACTGAGCACCTCAGTGCCTCTGTACTACGAACCCAGTGTGTACCACACTTCCAATGTGCTGGGCATTCACAGTGCATGGATCTCTGATATACCGAAGTGCATTATAATGGGGTCGTATGTAAACAACTCTGCCATCAGCTTACAATAATGAATACATTATTAGTGACTTAGACTGATAGACATTACTGAAACAGTTAGTTAATGTTAATGCCACAGTTACAAGGCCAATGTTGGATAAACATATATATTTTAGATTCTTTCATTAAAAAAAGAAAAAAACGATAATAATTTGGTCACTTCAATCCACGACTGTTTGTGGGACATTGCTGTGCGAAATTGGCTGCTGCATTTCCCCCACAAAAATGCAGTTAATTCACTTTACAGTATATTCTCAAAGCACTTTGAGACGTCTAGAAGACGTGAAAAGCACTACATCAAACGCAAGGACTATTATTATTATACAAACCAAATAGTTTGCAGGGGAATCTTGGGGCACAAGACATGAAAGTGCTGCAGGCGCTAGAACTCTGCTTACTAGCTACATGATTTAAGGCTTAAAAAATCCCTCAGGCTAATGATGAAAAACAGGCCTTACCAGAGAACTTTGTGGGTAAACCTATGTGCACTGAACCAGTTCTTAACTTAGAGGGTTCTCCCCTCAGTTGCCAAATAGGGTACAAGTACAAGTACGCTTTCCAATCCTTCATTTGTATATTAGAATGGTAAGTTACCCCACCAAACTGTTGCAACCGATGCCTTTGGAGACTTGATGGCACCATCTGGGTCACAATCTTATTTAAATACATTAAAAGTATATTTAAAGAAATATTACACTGAAAACCGATATGCCCATGTGTTATTTCTTTTCCGAACTTTCGCCATTTGTACGGGTTTACCCGAGCGAATTCAGGTCAGGTAATAACCCCATTTAAGCAATCAATGCTTTAAACTACATAATAGAAACATTAAACACTTTCAATTGGTTAATGTTTCCAATGCATACAATGAACAACAGAAAATATAATTTTCTGATAAATAATATTGAAGACAAACAGGTTATGTAAAAGAGGGGGCTGACTGTGACAAAATGTTGCCTCAGCTACCTCAGGTAACTTTAATTCCAACTTGTTTTGCATTGCCAGTAGCATTATTTGGCAAGTGCAGATTGCAGAAAATATAGTACAGCACCATATAACCACTTCTTTATTGTGTGAAATGGGTTACAATTTAATTGCGCTGCAGATACCATTCACTCTGTGTGTGTATGTGTGTGTGTGTGTGTGAACTAACTTCTGGGTCATCATGTCGCTGCCCACATCATTTACTCCAAAGCACAGATAAAATTCCAATCCAGGCTATAAACCAGGTGTTAGCCTTTCACTGTGCATTCACTCAGTCAAACGGTTTGCTTCCTGGACATGAGCAATTATGAGCAATTGAAACCCTTTATAGTAATTTATAAGCCATTATCACGCCTTATGAAAGCCTTTTTATGGCCCGCCAGTGGGTTAGGAGTTGTGTTAATCCATTTTCAGCCCTCTCTGGGGCCCATCTTCAATACAAACTACACAAAGGCAAGTGCACTTTAAACCTAATTTCCACCGTTGTTATTTGCAGCGCCCATCTATAGTCATGTAAAATGTCCTCTTTGGTTGGCCCACAAAAAAATGTCTGTTGATTGAATATTTCTTGATTTATGGCATACATCTATTTTATTTTATTTTGTTGACCAACCAAAAGGATTGCCTACCACTGGTTGCAGGCTGGGATGCCATTGGATTGGGAAGTGCAAATTGCAACTTTGAAGTGCTGTCTAAATAGTGATGGCCACAAAACTGCTAATCCCAAAGTGAACCAAATGACCTGAGACATCATATAATCCATTGAAATCATTTAAGGTTGTGTTGTGCACTGACCACTCCAGTATAATGGTAGTAATTAATTCAGTTAAAGTAAAATTTGGCATTTCTGATACATCAAGGTCGTTAAAAGCATTTGGTTTCTTGCCAGGAAAGTAATGCTCACCTTGATCTGGTTTTACAGGGAGGAAAATGAAGTGCAAACCCAGTTTATGTGTGAACCTGCACAATCCATGACATAAAGCTATACAAGAGGCAATGTGGTAGGTAATTTATTACTTCGATTTTTCCAACCATAATTCTTTTTTACAGACAAATTCTCATAAATGGCTGCCTGATATATGTATCTTAAAAGATTTTGGCAACTTTCTGCAGGGAGGAAGAGTGAGCACAGAACAGTCATGTATCATTTTAAATGACATTGATATACATTACTCAACAACATGCTCCTGAACAGATTCACTTGAATATATGGTGACAGAGAGCTGTGTGCTGTTGCGTTGATCTGAGGATTTTAGTGCAATTTATTTCTGACTCCTCGATTGTATTCATCATTTTCCTTGCTCATGACCCACTGAAATGTTCCTGATTTCTGGTAAAAATATTGCTTCTCTGGCAGGTGCTGTGAACAGCATTCACCAGGGAATATATTTCCGCCCTATACTTTAGCCCTGGCCACAGAATCTGTAGGCTGATGGCCAGAGCTGACAACAGCCCTCCTCCACATGACTTGCGGACAATCCACAGGATTTCGACATCAATGAAGTGGCCCTCCCTTTAAAGCTTCGAGTACCATTTTCTCCATTTTATCCACCTACACATTGAATTCTAGGCCCAATCTGGAACATGTCGACTTTGATGAGCCGCTATTATCAGGAAATAGAAAGCTAAAAAATATTGATCGGTTCCTAAACACTTTGAAAGGTTAGTCAGCATGGAATTTCCCAGTGTCACAGTTTAATCTTATGTTTAAGAATTTGTCTTAATCATTATTGGGGTTTTATTTGAAATAACTGCACCCAACAACCAGAATGTTCCTCCCATAATTAAGCTATAATCTTACTCCGAAGGGGCCTGCAAATCCAATAAATGGAATGACACTTTCAATGAGCACAGCAAAAAATTAACATGGAGACAGGAACTTGAGCTCAGAAGAAAGAAGATGATAGACAGTTCAGATTGAATTATTTTGCACAGAGAAGTGGTGAAGTGTGAAATAGGTTAACTGCCACCGAGACAGAATGTGTCTGCAAAGAGAGTATCAGGTAGCTTTCTGTCAAACAAGTTATTTGATGGTTATGAAAGATAGTATGAGATTTAAAAAGAATAACTTTAGAATGAGCCAAATAGATTGTAATCATGTTTTCAGGTCCTGTACATTCCCTTATTACATAGGATTTTATTCAATGGTCACTGCCTTAACATGTTTTGAAAGAGCAGGTTAAATGTGAAGGTTGGAGACATCTATTAGACATATACCGGAAGACTTTTACAACTAAGTGCATCTAGTAACTAGTGTTAGTTTTCAATGACAATAACCTCTGCCAAGGTGGCCAAGTGCCATTTCTGACACCATATTTATCCTTTTTTTCTACAATGACTTTGATCTTTCCAGGCATTCCAGTTCTCTGGTATGAAGGTTAGGACAGATGGACCTAAGCCAAATATTTCTGTCATCATAGCCAGGAGTTGCATAGTGTTTTTGAAGCAGTTTCTTTGCAATGATTTTAGGGACGTAGCTTTGAAATTTGTTATAAACCCATCTCTGAAGTCAGAGTTCCTTTTATACTTGTTCAAGTGTGCTAAACAGTGATAGTCACAGCCGAGCTTGATAATTAAGATCAGTTTAACTTCATAATTGGTGATTATTGCAGTGCTACTGAAGGAAACTTGTCTGGATATACAAAATTTTAAATGGGTTTGAAAAAGTGAACCCAGAACAACTTTGGGATGCAATGAGACAGTAGAACAGGACACAGGTTCTAACCTATGTGATCATTCTGTATCTAGTCTATTTGTGAAATGCCTTATTGCCAAACTGCTTTGTATTATGAGAGTAGTTATGACCACTGAGTTAAACCTTTAGTTCCTTCACATCTATTTCACTACATGTTAAAGACATTATGGATATTTTATTGGAAACTTTTTCATTCTTGTATCTCTTATTTGCAGGTTTTTTTTTGCTTCTTATTCGAAGCAGTTTTACTGGACATGTATATTCCCCTTTCGGTATGGCGCAAGAGATGGAATTAATGTGAAGGACTTCTAGCTTTATCTTCCGGTGTTCTACTTTGAAGAATGTTCTCCACCAGTGCCAAGTGGACATTTTGGCTGAACAGTCCATGCTTATGGTTCTACAGTGGAGTCCTCTTATGATCAATCCTAATTTGCTAGTCAAATTCACATTTATCAGGCTGTGACATCAAGTCGGCTCATCAAACGACTGAAAAGGGTAACAGTGGAATTAAGAGTGAATCAAGAACATGAGAAGATGTAGATATACTTCAAGGAAGGCAACACAAAATAGAAATGGTTGGAAAAACGTAGTGAAACAGATGTGAAGGAAATAAAGCTTTAACTCGGTGTTCATAACTACTCTCATAATACAAAGCAGTTTGACAATAAGGCATTTCACAAATAGGCTAGATGCAGAAATGTTCAAGTGTTCACATTAAAATCTGCTTTGACATAAGAGCATTTGTGCTATTAAGTGAACTTAATTCTACCAAAACAGATTAAATTCTATTAGATATCGATAGGGAAGGGTTTGGTACTTTAGAATTCTTTGAGACTAAGCAGATGATGTAAACATGATGATAATGAGTTGTGAACATTACGGGAATAATTTGGTTTCATTATTTTAAGCCTATCAGTTTCCAGATGTGTCGGATTGTCAGTTTCTCAATTGTCAGAAAGAAGAAATTATCCTTTCTGCCAACAATGCACATGCATCTAAGAGTGATTTCAAAAGAAAAAGCAAATTTATAGTTTTCAGACCTAGAAGATACCTTGTAGATTTCCAAAACGCATAGGAGTTGACAATATTTGGTCATTTAAATTGATTATTATCATTTAAATTAAGTAGGAACCCAGTTGTTAGTCGATTGGCGGATTACTTTCCAGGGATAATAAATAAAAAAATTTGATCACTTAATCCACGACTGTGGGACACTGCTGTGCGCAGTTGACTGCCACGTTTTGTCCATAAAATACACAGTCAATCCACTTTACAATATATTCTGTGAAGAGCTTTGAGAAGTCTCAACGACGCAATAAGGCGCTGTATCAAATGCAAGGATTTTTATGCTTAAATAAATTCTCGAATAAATCGGTATCATAAGAAAAGGGAATGCTTCTTTGTTAATTAGTACATTTACTGACAATTTGGGAACGTTCACTAATCTCGCTACCATTGTTCACCACTGAACTCTTAATCCAAAGTGATAGTACTTACAAACAATTATTTCTTGCCTCAAAAGTTTAAAAATTGGCTAATAGAAGCCTATGTTGTCAAGTAACTGGATTGGAAAATAGAATTATGAAATTAAAAATTATAAATAATTGTAGATGAAAATATATGTGTGTCCTGTAGCTCAGTGGTTAGAGCACTCGCTTTGCAAGCGAGAGACCTGAGTTCAATTCCAGGCAGAGGGCCAAACCTTGGGCAAGTTTCCTTACTCCACACAGAGCCCTAATAATAATCCCTCCAAAACCCAAAAACAATAATACAATTGGTCATTTTCAATCTACGACTGTTTGTGGGACATTGCTGTGCGCAATTGGCTGCCACGTTCGCCCACAAATATACAGTCAATTCACTTTACAGTGTGTTCTGTGAAGCGCTTTGGGACGTCCTCCCGACGTGAAAAGCGCTATATCAAATGCAAGGATTATTATTATTATTATTATTATGGCAAAGGGTGAATACCTGTTGCCACTAAGGATAGAGTCTTTGCCAAATATCCATTAAGTATGATTCTCCAATTAGAGGCGCACATGGTCAGAGTGTTTGTACTTACAAACAATTATTTTTTGCCTCAAAAGTTTAACGATAAGTATGAATGTATGGAACCAGAAGTAAACTATGGTCTGACAGTAACTGATAAATATTTTGAGCTACAAATATAACACTCACACTTTGCACACTTCTTCACATTGACACAAATAGTTTTGGGTGGTAAGAACAGTGGGAAATGTTACACAATTAAAGTTTTAAAAATCATGCATTCTGATTCTTACACAAATAATAATACAAATTTACATTCACGTAGCGCACTTCATGTTGGAAGGACATTGGACGGTGCTTAACAATTGTGCACAATTAGGACATCCCAAGTCACTTGGCACACAAGATTTGGGTGGGAACTGATGGTGTGAGAAGGGAAAAGTGACTGAAGGAGTAGTCAACGAGCGGTTTAAATGGATCTGGTAAGAGGTGAGGGAGAGAAGCAAATTGGAAGGACTCTGGGATGGAGTTCCAGAGAGTAAGGAAGAAATAGGCTAAAACAGCAACAACCAACAACAACAACAACAAATTACATTTTTAGACTATTTTTTAATATTTATACAGCGTTGTTCATGTCACGCATGAACGGGAGAATGGTTTGTATGGTTTGAGGAGTTTGCAGAGGAGGTACTATGGAGGGATTTCAAGGTATGTGGATCTTGAACCTGATCTGCTGGGGGATGGGGAGCCGATGGGGGTGATAGGCTTGTGGAGCCCGATTCGGGAGTTGACACAATTCTACCCAAAACCCACAATTGTTTTCAAATTTACAAAGTTTAAATCTGTTCGGTTCAGAGTTCTGTCAGAGAGAAGTGTGAGATTTTTCTTATTTCTCACGCAGAACATTTTTTTAAAAAGTAAAACAAACTAGAAATAAATGATCATAAAATTATATAACCAGTGAAGAATGATTCCATGGCCGAAAGATTTTCTCCAAGGTTTTTGTAACATTCTCACCCTCAACCCAAATCACCCCATTTCTTTTTTTCTTTTTGATATATCACCTTGGCTAATAATGCTTTAAATGGCTGAAGTTTGATCGCATGAACGTGCTTCTTTTTGAAATAAAAACAAACTTGCTAGGAAACAAACTAACAAACAATTGTGCACAATTAGGACAATTTCTCTAACGTGAGTAAATTTACTAACTTTGTAGGTTGGGCACCTACTGGTCGCTGGTCAGTACATTTACTTTTAAGTGGAGAATGAGTTGATCACAAGTATCTGTTTACGCCAAATGATATATTTGTAGTCAAAATGTTGGTTGCCATGTTTGAAAGGAATAATGCAAATGTTATTGTGTTTAACTTAAAAGGGTAGTTTAACCGGATCAATTCCATAAATTCTGCTGCGGATAGTTTTTTTATTTTGGGGGGAGGTTTTATACATTACATTTCAGCAATATTTACTACTTGCAATGTGTTTTTAATAAAATAAAATTGAAAATCACTAGCAGGTTCTATTTCTGGTAATTTGAATGGCAATTCACAGAAGATTTAATTTTTTTTTGCGGTGTGCAGATGTCAGTGCGTTATGTTGTGTACTTTTGCGCACCAGGCTCCGTCACCTCATCACTCCTACTCTTGCCCGATTCCACTGGCTCACCATCCCCCAGAGGATCGAATTCAAGATCCTTGTCCTCACTTTCAAGGCCATCCATGGCCTTGCCCCCTCCTACCTCTCTGACCTGCTGACTCTTTGCCAACCTGCCCGCTCCCTCCGTTCACCAGGCTTCGGTCTGTTCCATGTCTCCTGCCCAACCCGTCCTACCATCGGTGGCCGGGCTTTCAGTCTCTCTGCCCCCATACTCTGGAACTCCATCCCACGGTCCCTTCTCCTCGCTTCCTCCCTCGCCTCCTTCAAGGCCGGTCTCATTACCCTTCTCTTCGATCGTGCCTTCGGTCGCCCTCCCATCTCTCTGCCTTCCCTCACCCCGAACCCCCCTTCGCCCATGCTCAGGTCCTGACTGTCCAGCGCCTTGGGACATCCTCCCAACGTGAATGGCGCTCTATAAATGTAATTTTTTCTGTTATTGTTGTTCGAAAACATTATATTTCAGTCCTATCTTTTTCCATTTTAAACGTGAGAGTTTATTTCAAAGAAAAATGTTTAATAATCTGCAAGACACATTTATGAGTTTGGAATCAAATGTTTGCTACTGTGGTAAATGGCATAGAACACCAAAAGAGTCACTCTGCTGTTCCAGATGGTGAATAGGCAAAAGTAGTGCTGGAAGGAACAATAAATTGGAGCTTCTGCTAGATGGCACAGATAAAATAAAAATAAATCAGGTGCTGTTCGAATGGGTGTGTGTGTCATCTACTTGGTTTCCCCTTTTCATGGCAGTGATAACACTAGCAGAGATAAGATCAGAGGAAGATAATCTTACCCCCAACTCACTAAATTTGTTATTACTAACTCACCAAGTAGATTCACCTAGAAAATCTAACATTCTTCTCCTGAAATTGACAACACCCAAGGCAATTTGTCCCATTATGTATATAATAATAATTGTATTTAATAATCTACAGAGAAACCATTTCTTCTGATGGGTGAAATCCAGAACAAGGGAGCATAGTCTTAAAATTAGAGCGAGGCTATTTAGAAGTGAAATCAGGAGGCATTTTTTCACTCAAAGGGTAGTGGAAATCTGGAACTCTCTTCTCCAAAAGGCTGGGGGTGATGGATCTATTCAAACTTTGAAGACTGAGGTGGATAGAATTTTGTTAGGTAAGGGTATCTAGGGATATGGGGCAAGGGGGTGTAATTGGAGTTGAGGTACAGATCAGCCAAGATTTTATAGAACGGTGGAACAGGCTCGAGGGGCTAATTGGCCTACTCTTGTTCCTATGTTCCTAATATAGCACCTTTTATTCCAGGACGATGTCGCAAAGTGCTTCACAGAATTTAGTACGCAGTGTAGTGTGAACGAGGCAGTCAATTTGCTTACAGCAATGTCCGACAAACTGCCAACCAAGTAAGTGATCAATCTTATCTGTTGTGTTGTCTCAGGCGCTGACAGCATCAGCATCCAAGGCTGCACTCTCCACCTCTCAAAGCCGGTCAGGAACCTCGGGGTTCTGTTCGACCCTGAGCTGTCCTTTCTTCCTCATATCCGCGCCACAACTGGCACCACCTTCCATCACCTACAAAACATCGCCAGACTACGGCGCTACCTCACCCCTCACGCTGCTGAAACTCTGGTCCACGCCTTTATCACCTCAAGGCTGGACTATGGGAACTCTCTCCTCGTCGGCCTTCCTGGCACCTCCCTCCACAAGCTGCAGGTCATTCAGAACTCTGCAGCTCGTGTACTGTCCCGCACCAGGCTTCACGACCACATCACTCCCACCCTCGCTCGCCTCCACTGGCTCCCCATCCCCCAGAGGATCGAATTCAAGATCCTCATCCTCACCTATAAGGCCATTCACGGCCTTGCTCCCTCCTACCTCTCTGACCTACTATCCCTCTACCTACCTGCCCGTACCCTCTGTTCCTCCGGCTCCGGTCTGCTCCACGTCCCCCGCCCCAATCGCCTTACCATCGGTGGTCGGGCCTTCAGCCTCTCAGCCCCGAGGCTCTGGAACTCCATCCCCCAGTGCCTTCGCCGCTTCCTCCCTCTCTTCCTTCAAGGCCGGTCTCAAAACCTTTCTCTTCAACCGTGCCTTCAGCTCCCCTCTCGACTCTCTACCCCCTCCTCGCTACCTCCCTTCCCTCCCCTCACCCTGACCATTTCCCCCCTGCTTGGGTCCTGACCCAACTGTCCAGCGCCTTGGGACGTCCTCCCGACGTGAAAGGCGCTCTATAAATGAAATCTTGTTGTTCTTGTTATATGCAATGACAACACAACACATGTAATATTATCTTCATAACATCGCATTTTACACACATCCACAGTTTAGAATGGGAACGGGATATTTGGAACAGTAAATAATTCAGTGAGACAAGACTGGATGGCCCAAACCCCTTTTCTTATCTCTGCAGAGGCAATCTAAACCAGATTTCACACCTTCTTAGCTCTTAACTGAAGAACATCCATTAAGAAACAAAACAAGGATCTTCGGTTGCCAAGATAAAAGTTACTCTGAACGCAGATAATTTATCTGTATTCTATGTAGAGCCTTGCACATGTTTTCATCTTGCAAGTTCTTATGTAACTCTTGCCCAGTTCTGATACATTGTCTAAGCCAGATAGCATTAGTGATGCTGAGAATACTTCCGTTCACAAAAAGTAACTCCCAAAAGGGGAAACTACATATGAGTGCAACCACAGATAGAATGATCTGAATGGCCTCTGCCGTGCTGTAAACAATCATTTTGTGAGAAAA